TATATATATATTACGATTTCTCTGTCTATTATTTAATAATAAAAGATAATTTATTTGTTTATTTATTTGTTTTTAAGTTGCTGCCTCCTTTACCTGATGTTTGTGTTGGGGTGCGAGGCGAAGATATCTGCAGCAAATTTAAAAATATTTTCTTTTATAAGTTCTTTTCTTCCGGTTTGTCTTTGTGCAATTTGTTTAAAAATACTCAGCAGCACTGCTTGAAGAAGGACATTTGTTTGTTCATTAATATCTATATCTGTTAGGCAACATATTTCTTTCTCTGTCTTCTTATCTTCGTTTAGCTGCTGCACTTCTCCTGCTGCAGCAGCTGCAGCAGCAGCTGTAGCGGCAGCAGCAGCTGCTGCTGCTGCAAACTCATTCATCATTGTTGCTGCTGCAGGAGACTGTGCATTTGCTCCTGCACTGTATGTATACCCCGCACGCTGCAGAGGAGACAGCTGCAGCAGCATGAACTGCCGTCTAAGTGCTTCGTCTTCTGCTGCTGCTGCTGTTGATGCAGGTGCTGCTGGTGCTGCTGCTGCTGTTGCTGCAGATGCTGCTGCTGTTGCTATTGCTGGTATTGCTGCTGTACCTGTAGGAGAACACCCGCTCTCACGCTGCTGCTGCGCTGTACTGCTGCTGCTCCACATCTGCATCTGCTGCTGCTGCTGCTGCTGCTGCTGCTGCTGCTGCTGATTCCCCTGATAAGGTAGAGACTCAGTCGCTGGTTTTAGGAGAGGAGACAAAAGAGAAACAAACCCCAGCTCAATTGCCTGGCCAAGCACTTCCTGAGTTAACAAGAAGAAAAGAAACAAACAAACAAATAAACTATGCAGGCAAGCATGCATGTATGCATGCATGCATAGTATAGGGTTTCAGTATAAGCAGGAAGAAGCAAAAGAAATAAGTAAAAGACAGAAATGAGTATACGAATTAAATAATTTAATTTAATTAAAGAGAAAGAAAGAATATGAATAAACAAGAGAGAAAGAAGCAACATTAAGATACAAAATAGTTATAAGCAAATAAACGCAGAAAGCAAATAAAGAAATAAGTAAATAGATAAATAAACAAACACACACAACAAGCAAACAAGCAAACAAATAAAGAAAAAGAGTTACAGACAGGCTTGGTGATAGCATCTCTTAGACAAAGAAGGGCCTCTAATAAATCTTTTTTCTGCATTTCTTCTCTTTTGCTAATCAAACGAGATAACCGAGGAAGAAGATTGTCTTTAAACCTGAAGCAGAAAGGCAGCAGCTGGGGTATTCCCAATTCGCTTCTCTGCATGCAACTTAAACCCTTACTTCTGCTGTTGCTGCTGCATGCATGCATGCATGCAGCAGCAGCAGCAGCAGCAGGACGCAGCAGCATGCATGCATGCGCTCTTAAAGCCCACAGAGGTCTCAGGTCCATTGCATAAAAGAGAAACATTTCTGTTCGTTGTATGCACTGGTGAATGCATGCATGCATGCATGCATCCGTGCATGCATGCAAAGCCCCACACGACTGCATTTAGAGGATAGAGTCAGCTGGTTTTGCTTTTATAGGCCTGAACACCCTTTTGTTTTCTTCTTTTGCTGTCGCATGCAAAGTTGTGTTTGTCTTCTCTTTTTCTTTTTCAGAGTTCGTCGGCTATTTGCAATTGTTTTTGAAAGGAAGTAGAGCCGAGTTGTGGGGTTTGAAGTGTACAGGCAGGTTCAGATTCTGCTGCTGCTGTGCTGTCCCCCAGTCCTCCGGGATCGGGATCGGGTGGGATCGGGATCGGGATCGGGATCGGGATCGGTGTGGGGTTTGCTCACGCGAAAGTGACTTGCTTATCAGTGCAGCGGCTCTGAGTCTCAGGAAAGAAAGGATAATTGGCTGCAAGTTCGTCTGTAGTAATATACCGGTGGTAGCCTAGCAAACGAAAGGGTGCTGTATGCGCATTTGCATGCATTTTCAGTCGATGTATTTCTTTTTCTTCTTTTCTATTTAATATTAACAGCTAATAACGGAATAAGAAGATTAAGAAAGAAATAACAAAATGTATAAGCGCAGAAAACAAGCTCTTTAATGCAATATTTAATGCCAAACAAAACAAAAACAAAGAAGGCTGCTGCTATCTACGGATGCCTAACCCACACACACCCTATTTCAGAGATAAACTCCGAAAAACGGAAGTGAAGCTTTAGCTATAAACCCTAAACCCTAAACCCTAAACCCTAAACCCTAAACCCTAGCATGCAGAATAGAGAAATATATATACTATGGCCACATTAGAATCAAGCTGTCTGATGCTGTATTAACGCTACTGGGGCTTCTCCCTCTATGCAATGCTGGCAGTAAAAAGAAAGAATAAAAGAAATTAAGTTTTATTTTTATTTATTTCAAACAAAGACAAACAAAAAACTTTTATTCAGAGGCAGCGAGCAGCAGGCAGAAGCCAGGGCTCTATTTATCATGCAGAGTTTGTTTCACGTCCTAAATTAATGAAATAAACGAATATAATTATTATTTTTATTTTAAAATAAATAAATTAATTAATATATAAATTAAATTTATGTTTTTCTGATAATTTACACCTAAATATTGTACAACAATCCTCTATTCTCCCTACCCGCTCGGTGCGCGGCAGCCTTTCATTTTATATAGAGATAAAAAATGCATCAAAAATATATATAAATTAAATTAAAAACTGAAATATATTAATATATTTTATTTTATTTAATCAGTTTTATTTTTAAACAAAAATACTCGCTAGAAACCGACATTGGTGTGGCGTATGTACGTAATAATAACGCGAGAGAAGTAAAAAGATGTAGCAAATAATAATAATAAAAAGAAATTAAAAGTATAAAAATATATTAAAATAAAATAATAATAATTCGAACAAAGTAATAATAGTTAAGACGAAATAATAAAGATGTCAGAACAATGTAATAACCATGTTTAAAACAAAGATTATCATACAAGGGAGACAAAACAAATAAAGAAAACGACATTACTAGAAAAGATTAATGCATGCAAGGTGATATAATAATAGTAATAATAATAATAATAACAATAATAATAATAATAATAATAATAATAATAATAGTATTCCTAAAGTAATATCAATAATAATACTAACAAAACCAACAGTAGCCTAAAACACCCTTCAAAATATTAATGATAATAATGATAATAATAATAATAATAATAATAATAATAATAATAATAAATGATAATAATAATTAGTAATAGTACTCATAATAATAGTAATAATTAATAATAAGAATAATAAATAATAAAGAAGACGCAGTACTTTATGCAGAGGAGAAGCAAATGCAAAGCCAATACTGCTGCTGCTAGACTGTGCTGCTACTGCTGCTGTTGCTGTTGCAATGCTGCTGCTGCTGCTGCTGCTGCTGCTGCAGCAGCAACATTTCGATTTTGCAGCATTTTGCTGCTAGCAACTGCAGAGGGCCCTCAATATGCGTTTGGAGCTAATAAATAAAACGAAGAAACAAACAAACAACAGCATAAATAATACTAATAATAATAATAATAATAATAATATTAAAGACAGTGATAGGAGTAACAGAACTGAAGACAGAGAAAAAAGAAGGAGAGGGGATAAGAGATAAAAGATGCAGCCAGTATAGCACGAGTATATTATAAAGCAAAATAATAAAATAAATAATAAATAATAAATAATAAATAATAAAATATAAAAGTGCATTAAACACAGTACACAATAACAAACAAATATAAAAAAAATATAATCAAGTAAAGAATAACAACAAACTTGTTAATGAGTAAACAAAACAAAGAAAAAGATTACAAAGAAAAGCTAAATAATAAAATTAAAAAGAGTAAATAATAATATAATAAAGAGACAGCTTATAAAATAAACAAAGACAAGCAATCAAATAAAAGCAACTTCAAAGTATAATAAAATAAAGAAGATTAAAATAAACCATCAACAAAATAAACAAATTAACAAAACAGCGAAAAAGAAAAAACAAAATCGTGAAAAAGAAATCGATAGAAAAAAATAATAAAACAAACAAAATAATTAATATATATAATATATATAATATATAATATATATATTATATATGTATATGTATATATATATATTATATATGTATATAATGTATATATTAGAATAAAGGTGTACACATTGAGTAAATAAAACCGAATAAGAGAAAAAAGCTAAAACAAACAAATAAATAAAATAAAAAGCAACAGAACAAAGCACTTGACGAAGTAGAAAAGTAGACAAGAGTTAATGACTCGAGTGTCTGGTAATAGAAATACAACAAAATAAACAAATTAATAAACAAAAAAACTCTACAACATAAATCTCTCGTCTGCGCTCATTTCGTCTAAGAGGCAAACTTTTATACGCCATCCTTTACCCCCTACAGCTTGATAAGGCAGCAGCAGCACCAGCTGCTGCTGCTGCTGCTGCTGCTGCTGCTGGTGCTGCTGCTGCTGCTGCTGCTGGTGCTTGTGCTGGTGTTCAGCTGCGGAGGCACCGTTGCTGCAACTTTGAGTTGCTGCTGCTGGTGCTGCTAGTGCTGCTGGTGCTGTTGGTGCTGCTGCTGCTTCTGCTGCTGCTGCTTCACGCGTTAGCTGCTGCGCTTGCAGCAGCAGCTGGAGACAGCGACCGCAAGGGTAGCAGGGTTTATAAGAAAATGAAGCGCAGAATATACAAATTTTCTTAAAATGTTTTATGCCTAATGCTGCTGCAGCACCAATTGCATTTTGCTCGGCGCAGCAGCTGCAGCAAACAACAAAATAACAGCAGCAGCAGCAGCAGAAACAGCAGCAGCAGAAGCAGCGAGCTGAACATGCACAGATTGTTAGGCAGAACAGGTAGAGGTAATGCATATAAACAATGAGACAGCGAGAGAGCTGAGGGTTTAGGGTTTATAGTTTTAGGGTTTTATAGTTTAGGGCATACACTTTAGGGTTTAGGGTTTAGGGTATTAGTCTTTAGGGTTTAGGGTTTAGGGTTTAGGGTTTAGGGTTTACCCTATGCCGAGTGCCTTTGTCTCTGCATTAGCAGCAGAAATGAGAATTTGATGCTCTGTTTGAAGAGCGCAGCCAACACGAACTGCTGATTTCCAGCAGCAACTTGTTGCTGCTGCTGCTGCTGCTGCATGCAGCAGAGCACGTGCCTCTGCGTCTGCTGCCTTCCCTGAAGACAAAACACAAAAAATAAAACAAACAGCAGACATAACAAAAGAAATTAACTCTTTTTTAGCTGTGCATACACCTAAAGACACACGCAACACGCCTTCTAACACACACATATATGTATATATAGAGAGAGAGAGAGAGAGAGAGAGAGATACATATATATACATATATATATTATATATATACACTCATACACATATCTAGGAATATATATATATATATATATATATATGTGTGTATGCATATATGCGTGCATGCATGCAGGCTGTACATACACCTGAATTGGTTTAAGGCTGCTGCAGCAGCACTGAGCTGCTCACCATCTTCAGTTGTAACATCATCGAAGGGAGGGAGAGCAGCAAAAGGAGCAGCAAAAGGCTGCTGCAGTCGCTGTGCAAAGGGTAGAAGAAAAGAGAGCTTATAACTTGCTGCTGCTGCTGCTGCTGCTGCTGCGGCTGCGGCTGGTGTTAAGGCTCCTGCTGCTGCTGCTGCTACTGCTGTTGGTGTCAGTGCTCCTGCTGCTGCTGCTGCTGTTCCTGCTGCTGCAGCAGAGCCTTCTGCTACTTCAGCGCAGTGTACGTACACCTCAGCATCGCCTGCATATTCTGAAAGCCACTCTAAGCAACATCCGTTTAAAATAAAATCTGCTGCTTCTTCTCCTTCTCTAATTATACGAACGGCTGCGCATGCAGCGACCTGAATACGCAAAACCCTAAACCCTAAACCCTAAACCCTAAACCCTAAACCCTCGGCTTTACCGTCTAGGGTTCTAGTGCATGGTGTTTTGATTTCGCGGTTTTAGGGTTTAGGGTTTAGGGTTTAGGGTTTATACTCTGGCTCTGAGTTTGGTCGCCCTTTAGGGCCTATTATTTAGGGTTTAGGGTTTAGGGTTTAGGGCTTAGGGTTTATACTCTGGCTCTGCCTTTGGTGGCTGCCTGCGCAACAGCGATGTGTGCTGCACAGACACTGCAGGGATATGCAGCAGAGTCAAACGTACAGCCTGCAGCAAACAAACAAATAAAACATTATATATAATTATAGAATATAATTATAGATAAACAGATGTAAAAACATATAAATATATTTATATATATGCATGCATATATAGATACGCTAGATGCATACACATATATATATATATGTATATATATATATATATATATGGATTAAAGCCGCACACACACATCCTACATATACTATATTTGATATATAGACATATAATATAATATATATAAACATAAATACGTAAACACAAATAAGTAAATAAATATATTAACAGACAGACATATGCTTTCTCTTAAAGCTTAAATTGTGCATCTTCTGTTTTACACACCGACGTAAATTCGGCCGTCAGTTCCCAAAACGCTGACGCCAACGCGAGATTTCGAATAAGGAGCATATGCATTAAGAGCAGCAGCAGCAGCAGCAGCTAAGAGCTGCTGCTGCTGCTGCTGCTGCTGCGGTTGCAGCTGCTGCTGTGGCTCCTGCTGCTGCTGCTGCTGCCGATGGGACCCGTCTTGCTGGTGCAGATGATGATGATTTTCGGACAGTACCTCCAAGTGCTGCTGCTGTTGCTGCTGCTGCTTCTGCAGCAGCAGCAGCTGCTGCTGCTGCTGCTGGTGTGTATGGGTGGACGGCATCTCTCGGGAGGAGAGAAATATAAGAAATTCAGCGAAGACAGCCGACAATAAGAATAAACAAACAAAAAAAAGAGAATATGGATATAAATATTCAATATAATAGACAATATAACAATAAAACTAGAGAGAAAGAAGCAGAGAAATGTGCTCTGCTCAGCTGTACGCACACCTGAAGAAGGGTTCGTCGGCTGCAAGATACTTCCTTGAATATTAATTTTAATTAAATTATTATTATTATTGTTGCTGTTTTTATCATTAATACTATTATTATTCCGATATTAACGCACTGATGCCTGCATGCATGCTGCATATACACCCGAAGCTGCGCAGCAGCAGCCTAGATAGTCATCGTGCATATCTCTAAATGTACATAATTATACCGTTGAAATGAAGATAAATAAAATAAAATAATTAAATTAAGAATTAAAAAAAAGAAGAAAAAGAAGAAAGACAAACAAAAACACAAAAAAAAACAAACCGCTGGCCTGAAGCTTTTTCTTTTCTTTCTTTGTCTCACATAAAAATAATAATTGTATTTATTTTAATCAGAAAGTATATTTGTTTTTATATGCAAAGCAATTAAAGACACAACAATATAAAGACAATATTTACACAATACTCTCAGCTGCTGCTGCTGCTGTTCCTGCTGCTGCTGCTGCTGCTGCTGCTGCTGCTCGCGCATGCTGCTGCTGCTGCTTGTCTGCGCTGCAGCTGCTGCAGCAAAATGAAATCTATAATTTACAGCAAAAGGAATAAATAAACTCAACAGTTGCAGCAACTGTTGCTGCTTTTTTCTTCTTTGTCGCCGCACTGTACGTACACCGCATATCCTTATACTCATCCGCTGCTTGACTGACGCCAGCAGCAGCTGCCTCAACTCAACCTGCAGCAGCAGCTGCAGCAGCAGCAGCAACAACACCACAATTCGCAGCAGCAACAGCAACAGCAACTTCCGCAACTGGAGCAGCAGCAAAAGAAGCAGCAGCAGCAGCAGCAGCAACAGCAGCAACAGCGCCGCTACATCAGTTGGTGCCTTGTCAACGAGGCATCAGGTCGTAGTCTAAGCTTCCTGCCGCAGCAGCAGCAGCTGCTGCTGCTGCTACTGCTGCTGCTGCTGCTGTGCTGCTGCTGCTACTGCTGCTACGATGTTGTATCAATCAGGGTCTCTACAGGCCCTTATAAAGGGGCTTCGTGCAGCGCAGCAGCAGCAGCAGGAAGCCGAGTTTATTGCAAGTAGTTTGCAGCAGGTGAAGAATGAGTTATCTGCAGCAAGCGGCAGCAACAGCAAGAGCGGCAGCAGCAGCAGCATATCAGCAGCAACCCGCAGTGTTGCGCTACAGAAGCTAGTGTATCTGCAGATGCTCGGAGTAGACATATCTTTTGCTGCATTTTCAATAATAGAGGGCATGGCAGCAGCAAAATTTTATCTTAAGAGGCCTGCTTATGCTGCAGCAGCAATTGCATTTGCTGCTGCTGCACCGCCACTGCATGCAGCCTCTACTGCTCACGACAAACACCAGCAGCAGCAGCAGCAGCAGCAGCAGCAGCAGCAGCACTGGCCCCTGGCGGAGTTGTCTCTATTGACAGTTAATTTATTTAAAAAAGATTTATGCAGCAGCCAAATGTATGAAACCGGTGAGAGGGCTCTATCTACTGCTGCTGCATTTGCTGCTGCTGCTGCATTTGCTGCATTTGCTGCTGCTGCTGCATTTGCTGTATTTGCTGCTGCTGCTGCATTTGCTGTATTTGCTGCATTTGCTGCATTTGCTGCTGCTGCTGCATGTGCTTCTGCTGCTGCTTCTGCTGTTGTCGCTTCTGCTTCTACTGTTGCTGTTGCTGTATTTGCTGCTGCTGCTGCTGCTGCTGCTGCTGCTTGTGCTGCAGGTTTGGCGTTGCAGACTTTGTGCTGCGTGTCTCTATCGAAAGAGATGGTAGGGTCTCTGCTTCCTGATGTGCTGCTGCTGCTGAGTTCTTCTCGCCCTTACATTAGAAAGAAGGCAGCACTTTGCTGCAGCTGCTTCTTGCTGCAGCTGCTGCGAGAGCAGCAGCAAGCGCAGCAGCGGAAGCTGCAGCAGCGGCTGCGTCTGAACTCTTCTGCTGCTGCAGACCCAGCAGCAGCAGCAGCAGCAGCAGCAGCAGAAGCAGCAGAAGAGGATGATTCGGTGCTGCAGCACGTCGTGCAGCGCATACAGCAGCAAATAATGCAGGAGGAGGACATTGGTGTGCTTTGCTGCTTAGCTACCTCTCTGCTGCAAGCAGCAGCAGCAGCACCTCAGCTGTTCTTACCTCTCGTGCCCCCCTTATTTCATTTGCTCTGCAGCAGCAGCAGCAACTGGCTGACGATCAAGCTGCTGCAGCTGCTGCTGCTGCTGTCTGCAGCAGAACCCCGGCTTCCTCTTAAGCTGCTGAAGCCTCTAATTAAATTGCTGCAGCAAACAAAAGCTCATAGTGTTAGGATTGAAGCTTTACGTATATCTTTGCTGTTCGCTCCCATAGAGACTGCAGCAGAAGCTGCTGCTGCTGCTGCTGCTGCTGCTGCTACTGACGTCGCCGCAGCAGAACGCGCAGCAGCAGCAGTCATGACGCAAGACACAGCAGCAGCAGCAGCAGCAACAGGAGACGCAGCAACCGCCTCTCCTACCTCCAGCAGCAGCAGCAGCAACAGCAGCAGCAGCAGCAATGTGGCGCCGGAGATGCAGCTGCTGCAGCTTACATGCAAACAGCTGCAATCCCTTCTTTCTTCGCCTGATCTTAATATTTGTTTTCTTGCTCTCAGCTTGCTGCAGCAAACCTTCACCAAAAGGAGACATCTCGTACAGCCCCTGCTGCAGCTGCTGCCGGGCCTGCAGCAGCAAATGCTACAGGTAAACGATGCACACCGCTTTCTGCAGCAGCAGCAGCAGCAGCTGATGCAGCAGCAGCCACACCCTGTGCGTCTTTATGAGAGAATCTAATAGCTACAGCAGCAATACCACCACAAGCAGCAGCAGCAGCAACAGCAACAGCAGCAGCAGCAGCAGCAGTTTGTGTATGTATGCAGAGCGCAAGGAGCGGAGACGCAATGCTGAGACGTGTAGCTGTCTCTTTAATTGCTGCTTCTGCATCTCCTGCTGCCTTTCCTGTGGCTTGTGAGCGGCTTCTTGCTGCTGCATTCGAAGCTGCCAGCAGCAGCAGCAGCAGCAGCAGCAGCAGCAACAGCAGCAGCAGCAGCAGCAAGAGTGCTGCTGCTGCAGTGAGCCCCTCAGACTTTATTTTACCGATTGTACGGATGGCTGCTGAGTAAGGGAGCTGTCTCCTGTCTCTTTATTTTTTTTTGTTTATGTCTGTCTCTGTTGCTTTGTTTGTTCGTCTCCTTATTAAATTATTTATTATTTGTTTATTGTTTATTTATTTATTTATTTATTTATTTATTTATTTATTTGTATTTGTCTGTCTGTATTTTACGTTTTTGTGTGCTGATATTCTTTTCTGTTATTTTATACTGTTATTTATATTTATATTTATATTTATATTTATATTTATATTTATATTTATATTTATATTTATATTTATATTGTATTTATATTTATATGTATATTTATATTTATATATATATTTATATTTATATTTATATTTATATTTATATTTATGTTTATTTGTATTTTTATTTCTTTTTATATTTCTTCATCTGCTGCTGCTGCTGCTGCTGTTGTTGCTGATGCTGCTGCTGCTGCTGCTTCAGGAGCGACTACGAGTTGATAGAGGACTTTGAGTGGTATGTGGCTGTATTGATAGACATCGCATGCAACTGCTGCAGGAGCAGGAGCAGCAGCAGCGGCAGCAGCAGCAGCAGCAGCAACAGCAGCGGGGATGCTGCAGTTGCTGCTGCAGTTGCGCAGCAGCTGCAAGATATTTGCGTTCGGGTGCCTGAGGTGAGGCCCTGCAGCACGCATCTGTGCATGCTGCTGCTGGAGGCAGCAGCAGCAGCAACCAAGTCTAAGCTGCCAGGCAGCAACAGCAGCAGCAGCAGCAGCAGCAACAGCCTAGAGGTTCTGCGGGCGCTGCGGCAGCAGCAGCGCGAGAGCCACATCAGCAGCAGCAATTTTGACGAAGGCACGGGGGCCCTCCACAACAACCCCAGCAGCAGCAGCAGCAGCAGCAGCAGCAGCGGTGCTGCAGCAACTGAGGTGTACATACACCCGGATGTCATTCGCGCAGCCGGCTGGATTATAGGTGAGTCTTACGGTGTATAGGCAGCTAAATCTCTTCTTCTGTCTCCTGCTGCTGTCTCCCTACCAACAGTCCCTACAGCAGCAGCAGCAGCTGTGTCAGCAGCAGCACCTGTATCAACAGCAGCAGCAGCATCTGCATCAGCAGCAGCATCTGCATCAGCAGCAGCACCTGTATCAGCAGCAGCAGCAGCAGCATGTGCATCAGCAGCAGCAGCAGCAGATGTGCGAGGTTGGTGCTGCGCATGCAGGGGAGTATCATCGGCAGCTGTTTAGTGGCGCTGCTTCTGCTGCTGTCGGGATCAGCTTCATTGAAGAAGCAGCAAGCTGTCTCGCTCATCTAGTATGTCTAAACCCTAAACCCTAAACCCTCAATTTAAAGCTGCCCTGCCAGCGCGCCGCTGCACTAGGTTATCTCTTCCTGCTGCTGCTGTTCCTGCTGCTGCTGCTGCTGCTGCAGGCAGGGGACCCTTCCTTGAGGCCGCACGTACAGCGGGTGCTGCTGTGGGCAGCAGCAAAAGTTTTCTTAACTCTCACTGCAGTCGCACAAGGCAAGCTACTGCTGCAGCAGCAGCACGAGCAGCAGGAGCAGCAGCAGCAGGAGCTGCTGGGGCCAGCGGCTGAGAGAGAAGCAGCAGCAGCAGCAGTGCAGCGCCTGCATCACAAAGTGAAGGCAGCAGCAGAAGCAGCTCGCAGCAGCACCGACGCGGAGGTAATACTACTCTTAGCAAACAACTGCTGCTGCACCTGTTGCTGCTGCTGCAGCTGCAGCAGCAGCAGCAGCAGCAACAGCTGTTGTTGTTTTTATTTGGAGTGTCTCTGTTGTTTATTTTTATTTATTTCTTCTTCCCTCACCGCGCACGCAGAGAGGCTTCGTTTGTCTTTGTTTATCTCCGCCTATGCAATCCATCATATATATATATATATATTATATATATTATTTATATACAATATATATAATTATATATAGTATATATAGATACGTATGTATATGTATACATGCATATATGTGTAGGTATTATTATTATTACTATTTATTTAATAATACATCTCTTATGCCGGTTTGCTGCTGCTGCTGCCGCTGCTGCTGCTGTTGCTGCTGCTGCTGCTGCTGCTGCTGCTGTGTTTGTTTGTTTAGTTGTGCGGGAGGTCTGAGTTATGTTATAATTTATTATTTTCTTCTTCTAATTATTCTTCTTTCCCTCTGCAACTGGAGAACCTTCTGCCTGTACAGCCAGACGCCCAGCTGCATGTACACCCCAAACCCTAAACCCTAAACCCTAAACCCTAATACGCACTTAGAAACCCTAAACCCTTATACACACCCTTATAAACCCTAAACCCTAATACACCCTTATAAACCCTAAATCCTAACGAATTCTTAGAAACCCTAAACCCTAATGAATTCTTATTAACCCTAATATACACCCTAAACCCTAATATACACCGTAATAAACCCTTTTGATTTTTATTTATGTCT